TTGCCTCCAGAAGTTGTGAATGTCCCAACACTGGAAGTCTTTAAGAAGATGTTGGATAGCCATTTGTATATGGTATATGGTTTCCTGCCTAGGCAGGGGGTTTGACAAGAAGACCTCCAAGGTCCCTTCCAACTCTGCTATTGTATTGTATTGTATCTAGGAGCAGAATGATGCATCTGAAATCTGGAGTGCTCTTGAGGCCCTACTAGGATCTGTTCCTTGGCAAATGCCTAGCCATTTTAGTTCATGAATCTGACTTTGATAAAAGAGAACACTAATATGAAAAGGAAGTTGTCCTTCTAGTTGCAAAACTAAAAGCTCAAACCTTATCCTCCATTTTCTGGAGCATGTATAGGAAATTGTAGTATAAGACACACTTCCCCTCCTGAAAAGAGGGGTGAACATTTGGGTGCATCTTATACACCGAATGTAGCCCTGTCCACCCTTCGGCCATTTTCAGCCTCCATGCATCACATTCCAGGCTGCAAGGATTGCCACAGACCATCGCCGCTACTGTGCCTCGCATTTTTGGCCTCCACACATCGCATTTTCAGCCTCCGAACACTCCGTTTCAGACCCATTCCAGCTGCAGGGATCACCACATTGCCACCAATCACCGCCTCTGTGCATTGCGTTTTCCGCCTCCACACACCCCATTTTTGGCCTCCACACATTGTGTCTTTGGGCAGTTCCAGGCAGCGGGGAGCGGTAGCAGGGATCACCTGGAACCACCCGAAAACACAACACGCAGAGGCTAAACTCTGTTTTCGACTCTGCAGGGCATGCAGAGGCAAAAACATGATGCGTAGAGGCTGAAAATGCAACATGCATCGATCAGTGGCGATGTGCTGTGATGATCCCTGCAGCCTTGAATGGGTCTGAAACGAAGCATTTGGAGGCTGAAAATGCAAGGCACAGAGGCCAAAAATGTGAAGCATGGAGGGGTGATGGTCTTTGGAAATCCCTGCAGCTCGAACAGCTGATTGGGAATATTCTGGGAGGCTGATCCACCTGCCAATCAGCTGCTTGTCCTGAATCAGGCTGTGATAATGTGCTGAAGCTGACCAGGCTGTTTGCTATTTGCTGCAAGGTCACTAGCCAGATGAATACCGATGGATGCTTGTAGGCAGAGGCAGAATTATTATTTTTTCTTGTTTTCCTTCCCCAAAACTAATGTGTATCTTATACTTTGAAACATATGGTAATTCTGCCAGCAGATCCAATGGTGAGGTACGATGGGAAGTGAAAGGCAGCTGCATCAGAGGACCACAAGTGGCCTGTCCCTAATCCAGAGGGTTTAAGATAAAACATAAGCTTTTAAAGAATCCTCTGGGGCATCCCATACACTGAGTACAATTCTATACAGCCACTAGGCTTGCCCTTTTTCTGCAATGGGTTCACATTACCACATTAATATCCCCATGTGCTGTTCTTTGGGGCTTGGGGGAATGACATAAGAGGAGCACAGAAAGGCCACCCAGCTGCCTAACAAAGGAATGGGGGGGGGGAGATAACTCTTTTGTAACAAAGAGTAGGGGAAAACCCACTGAGGGGGCAGAACAGCAGTAAAGCCACATCACCTTCCCAATTGTTCCTAAAGAATGAAGGACCTCTGATAAAACATTAAGTGCCTTACCTTGAAAAAGGAGGAGAAAATCTCAGTGGGGAGATGGAAATCTAATGTCTTTTAGCCAACGGGAAGCCACCTGTCCTTCAGATCCAGTTTTCATACATTAATTTTATTAAAATCTATAATTAAAGAGATAAAAACTAAAATAATGAAAAGAGAAAGAGTGCAAAAAAGGGAAAAAAATATAGGAGGGGAAAATAGAAAGAAAAAAATAACGTAGTAAAGAAAAAAGATGCATAAAGGAATGACTTCCTTTTTATCACAAGTATAAACTGTTTTAATATCCTTTCTCATCAAATATAATAAATGATATCTTCTTTTCCTATCCCATCTCTTATATGTAAACAAATCCTT